GTCCCGCCTTGGCCGCGGCAGCACCTGGGCCCACGGAGCCCCCGCGGTGGGGTGCGGGGCCGTCCCCGGGGCGCCCCGCCGGCTCCCCCGCCGCGGCTGCCGCAACCCCCGTTACGAATGAGTCTGCGATTTTTCACACACCCACACCCGTTGCTTTTCGGTCTTTCTGGACTTAAAAAGACAAACGGTGCAGCAGCACCCGCGTGCCCAGTTCTGCCGTGATTTTGTGGGTTCGGTCGGAGCATCACAGTGTAGTACCGCGCTGTGCCTCGCGTGGACCGAGCAGCTGAAGGAGTCGACGTGTGTTTCGGGTTTGGGTTTTTTCTCACTTGCCTTGCTCCCTCATTGTTGCAAGAGGAACAGCCCCAGAAATCCGCTTTTGTGTCAGCCCCGCTCTTGAGCAGAACTGCTGCATCGGTTTCCCTCTGGAGTGGAAAAGTTAATCGCTATAGCAAGCAATGTGGCCTTCCCCCCTGGAAAAGAAGTGTGGAGAGATGAGTTTCTGTTAACATACCCTTCACTTTGTGAGATTTTTCGGTCGGGTGTCCTGTCAGAAAGCATTAGGGTCCCCGGGGAGGTGGAAGTGGTGTTCTCTGAGGAAGCCCCCACTGTTCTCGGGCACTCCAGCTGTCTGCCTGGACCCAGGTACTCTCACCCTAGTTAATCATAAATTAATGAATGACAGCACTTCCAGAGCTAGCTTACCTCATTTTTTCTGCTTTATGTTATGAGAGTATATGATAATGGTCTGGGAGCATCTCTGTGTGTACGTTAATCGTATATCATCAAATTTGGGTCAAGTGTTGGTTTTGATTATTCCATGAAAAGCATCTGTGACTTGAAAAAAAATCTAATTAGCTAATATGACTTAAAAATCTGATTAGCTGGATTCAGCACTGATTTTAAGAAATTACTTTTTATGTCTGTTAACTGATGGTACAGGTAGAAGCCTCCACTGTACCATTGCTATGCAGTAAGCTGTTCTATTACAGTTACAGTGCTTTTTAAGATGGGGCATTCCCATGTTCCATGTATAAAGTTCTTGAGATCTGTAGCTGAAGTGATAAAATAATATCCGTGGAATAACTTCACTTACCTGCATGGTCAAAATTAATCCATCCATTTCCAGCAACAAATTTATAATCAAATTATAAATACGGTGTTACTTGGAATATGAGGACCCAGATTCTTCAGTAGCTGGTGCGTAGTGCTGGTTTTTTGTCATAAGATATATTTCAGTATTTGTTACTGTCATCCCACTGGCTCTTGTGAAAATGATACTTAAATTTGTGGTTATTGCCATCCCTATAACAACCTCTGAATTTCTTTTTTTTTTCCCACTCGTTTGTATTTTGGGGAATGAGAAGAGTGGGGACTTTCTAGAGCGAATTTGAATGTTGTTTTAAATACCAAAGTGTAACTGTGGTTTGGTAGTTAGCAGCAAAACCAACAGATAATCTCAGTTGTCCAGCAGCATTGTCCCACTCTACACTGTCCTGGTGCAGCCTCACCTTAAGTACAGTGTGCCATTTCGGGCACCTCAGTATAAGGAGGACATCAAACTAGTTGGAGTGTGTCCAGAGGAGAACAACAAAGATGGTGAAAGGTCTTGAGGGCAAGACTTATGAGGAGTGGTTGAGGTCACTTGAGTTTGTTCAACTTGGAGAAGGCTGAGAGGTGACTTCATCATAGTCTGCAATTTCCTCAAGGGGGGCAGCGGAGCAGGAGGTGCTGATCTCCTCTCTCTGGTGACCAGTGGTAGGACACGAGGAAATGGAATGAAGCTGCGTCAGGGGAAGTTGAGGTTGGACATCAGGAAAAGGCTCTTCACTGAGAGGGTGGTTGGTCACTGGAACAGGCTCCGCAGGGAAGTGGTCACAGCACCAAGCCTATCACGGTTCAAGGAGCATCTGGACAATGTTCTTACAATCATGTGGTTTCGGTTTTGGTAGTCCTGTGAGGAGCAGGGAGTTGGACTTGGGTGTCTTCATGGTTCCCTTCCAACTTGAGATATTCTATGATTCTTTGGCAATGGGATGATTCACAACTGATGTATTAATTCATTGGTAGAACCACAATATTCCAAAATATTTGTTACCCTTCTGCTAACACCAAGACCAAAGTACTTAACAGGACATAGGCCTACAATTTCCCTCCAGAGCATCCCTTTGCTTGACTTTTTCAGAATGTTTGTTGTTAGGTTGATATTTATCATGAGAACTTGTATCTTTGCCAATAGGCTTAGCCATTCAGTTGTTCTTTATGGCTATTTTTACTTAGTGCATTTTCAGTGAGGCTTTTGTCCATGTTTGTCTCAAACTCTGGCTGTGCAGCTTCTTGTGTTTCTCTGGGGCGTCTGGCATTTCACCTTCTCAGTGTATGTAGAGCATTGCCTGTCATCAGCTTCTCTGCTGGTTCTAATTAACCTACTCTCGTTTTGTAGAAAAACATTGTCACATCAGGTTTTTCTGTAGTACTCCAGACTACTCTAGACTCCTTTGAACATCCAAGTATTGATCCATTGGGCTAGTGCTTGCTGCCTGTACAGCAGCCCAAGTTTGAATTTTGAAGCACCCTTACCTACTGAAAGACAGCTCTGTAAGTCAAGACTGATGTGTAGAATAAAACTCAGCTCTGCTGGTTCGAACTCAATAACCTAAGTAGCATCACAGAGTAATGCTGCCTGCCCTCAGCTCAAAGCAGGGCCAACTAGGTCCAGTTGCTGAGGGCCCTGCTGGGCTGAATTTTGTGTCCAGAGATGGGGATTTGACAGCTTTGCTGGGTGCCTGTGGTTAGCTGCCTTCGGTGTGAATTTTTTTCATCTTTTCTAATTAGAATTTCCCATGTAGCAACAGACGTACGATGCTTCTCACTGTCACACCTTGAGAAGAGCCTGGCTCTGTCTTCTCTATACCCTGCCTTTAGGAAGCTGAAAACAGCAGCAGTGTGTCACTTCTCACACTGAGAGAAGCCTGCTTCTCTCAGCCGCTCTGCGTGTTATGTGCTCCAGGCCCCCCACCACCTCAGATGGGCTTTGCTGGCCTGAAAACGGGGGACAGAAAGCTGAAGCAGGTGGGTGGCTGGTGGAGGGGGATGATCACTCCCCTTGCTCCAGCCTTGCTGTAGCCCAGGGTGCAGTTGGCCACCTCAGCTGCAAGGGTACATTGCTGGCTCAGTACCGTTTCCTCACTGTAGCCCAAACATCCTCTTCTGCAAAGCTGTTTTCAGTTCAGCTTCAACCTTTCCTGCTGCATGGGGCTATTGCATCTGACACACCAGGCTTGCGCTTGCCATTGTTGACTTCATGAGGGCCCTGGCAGCTAGTTTCTCCAACTCCTTCTGTCACTGCAGCCCTACTTTACCCTATGGCCACCCCCACCCCGCATTTGCAGAGGACACCAGGTTTGATGAGGTTTTTTCCATGTTGTTAGTAAAGACATTAAACAGTGTTGGCTCCAGCATTGATCCCTGAGGGATGCTGCTGGTGATCAGCCACTGTTGGACTTTGCACTGCTGATGGTAACACTTCCAGCACAGCAGTTTCTAACTGGAAGTGGCTATTACTGTCCGGTGGCTAAGAGTGGTGATATTAATTAGCATTTATATTATTTAATTTTAGAAATATTAGCATTCTCAGTCTGAAATGCATTTTTACAGATTGTCACCTTTTTACAGAGGAACAGGCTTGATCTTCACTTGGGCTACCTCATTATCTGAATGAAGCCCATAAAATTAAGATGTGGGTGACCCCATTTGTGACCCAAACTTAAGTGGTAGCAAGACCCAGGTATTCCCCTCCTAAACGTGCCACGAGCCGTGGATGTCCAGATAAGCACCAGTGACTTCCCTGTAGCTTTTAGTTTGCTACTGTGGGCCTTGTTTTCCTTGTTACCAAAGTGCACTATGGGTGAGGAACTGAAAGCAGAAGTTACAGATCCCGGCCTATATACAAAATATGATAGCTGGAATCTCAGGGAAGGACAGTGAGAGTATTTTATATTATTGCCCTAAAATCTGTTAGCT